TGGTTTTGACATTTGTCATGTCAATTCTAGTTTCATATCTGGTAGAAGTGCATTTGCTACTGTCGCTAATGACGTCGCCCTGTTATGCTGTAATGCCAAGCAAATATGAACCAGAACGCTAACAATAATGATGTATGGGGGCAAAACATCGGATATGGAGGCGGAGCTGAAATCATCAATAATTAACAAAAATGGTGCTCCCGAAGTATGCGAACCAAGATGGCGGACATCGGAACGTAACATGGGTAACAGGTTAGGGTTAGGCGATAATTTTTTTCCAATTTTCCTTATTTTAGTCCTATTATCAGTTCGAAGACTAGCCAAGAGCCTCCCGTAGTATTTATACCTAAAATTATGGCCTAACCCTAACCTAGTACACATATTACATTCCGATGTCCGCCATCTTGGTTCGCATACTTCGGGAGCCCCACAAAAATATACGGAAAATATTAGCAAGCTATAAATAAAATGTTATGCAATATCCTGGCGACGTTAAGGCTTTGTTAGAAATGAAAGGGCGTGCTCCAAAGTATTACAAAGTCTGTTGTTGACGAACTGAATCGAGCATGATGTATATTGACGCTTTTCTATTACTCCACAGTGGAGTCGAAACTTCAAAGCATTTGCGTTAACTTCATCTTTGCGATTCACGTCGTGAGAGAAAGTAAACAATCGATATAAAATGTCAATTGGTTTGTAACTCGCAGTCATAGAATGACATAACAATATGACTCTGGCGTTGACTTCGGCTAGAGTGCAGTATAATAACGTATTTGTAGAATCTTGGCCGGTTCTAAAAGTGAACGTTCGGCCGAGAAAATAATGTTTAGTAAAATGACCGCCAAGACATCTTTTCGATTAGGAACTGTTGAGCGATCATTTCGCTCACCGGTGTACTTGCCAACCAACAGACTGTCGTAATGCAAATGTGGAACTAGCAGTCACTTTTTTTCTCGTTCTATCGATAACAGGGTACTTTAAAATGTTATAGCTAATTCATTCCAACACAGCCCCGATTACGGCATCGAGATATTTCCTTGCCGAGTTTGTTATGCGCTCGCTAACAAATTAACCCAATAGCTGATGACAATTAATGAATTCGGCAGAGTTGAGAATTATTCGTTGTTAATTGCTCGTGAAGTCAGAACCAAACCCCAGAATCGGAACATCTGCCATGATGATGGGAAATTCTCACAGAATTTCTTCCTGACCCGGAAAACGTAGGGTTAATTGTGTATGTTTGTAGGTCTTAATTAATAGAATAATTGATATCGGTGATAATCTGTGTATTGGCGACGGCTTGGGGCACAATCGTCTAGTTATAAGGCTAATTTCTTCTCCGGAGTCAACTAGAAAATGGTTTTGCATTCATTTGTCGTATATAAAGAATTGGCCGCGGGTTGATGTTGAGCCGGACACGTTTAACTTCGTTGGTGTACAGCTGGTTCCTTTACCCGGAAGTTACAGGGTTATGTACATCTACAGGCTCGATCCAGATCCCATTAAAAGGGGTATTGAGAGGTTTGTAAAGGTTTCGGGGTCGTAAAGAATTTTTGGTATCATCCTGCTTCCGGTAGCGACGAAGTTCGTGGTTGTTACGAGATCTGCTAGGTTGATACGGCACTTTCGATGGACGTTTTGACGACTCTGTTGGGATCCGGCCAGTTCTAATTTCGTCGTCAAACTATTAATTTTATCTGTGAGATTTTGAGTTTGACTTTTGAGCATTTTATTTTTGATCACTTGTTTAGTCGTCGGTTGATTCATATCGTTTACATGTTCTACCGATGACAAAATTCGATCGGCACGTTTTGCTACACTCTCGATGGAATCGTTCAAATTGTTTGATTGGACGGCATTGGTTTCCGCAAGGTTAATGCATGGCAATGAATATGTAGTATATCTTTATTTTATATTTCATAATAACTTGTTGATGTTGATTACTTCGTCACTACACTCTTCACCCCTCACTGCCCACTGCTACAATAGCGCACGACTTATATAGAAGTTCGACGCTATCGTGAACAGATTCACAGTGACGTTTTAAATGAGTTATACTTTTGCTGAAGGGACAATTTGACTTTTGGCCTAAATAGTATGGACGTGTAATTATTTAAAGCGATCTGTTAGATAACTTATTTTTTCGAAGTAGAAGCAATTTTTTGACTAGTTTAGATCTATCTGAATCATCATTGTTCATATTACTAATATTCCCTACAAATATACTTGGGGAACCGTTTCCGGTGGATAATTATTTGTTTTTCCATTTACTTGTTGAGGTGTTTCCGGTTGCTCCCGAGTCGACTCGCTTCTCAGTATTGTTTTGAAATTTAATTTGGAATGGGGTACGGGTAACCATTATCAAATATTTCATTAAAATTAATACCATCGAGACTGTTTCTTGATTGGGTTCCTAGGTAAAACTGGTTCAGAAATCGTTTTGTTGGTAAAATACATATTGTTTCCTTCTCCGGATAAAGAGTTGATAAAATAAACCTGTAGCCATTCTGGTTCATGTAGCGAAATTCGGGTTACGTTGCTTTTTCGAGAATATTGAAAATATAATTGTTCATATCTATAGCTTATATACAAAATGGAACAAACGAAAATAATGATTGAATAAGACGTACCGACTAGTGGACATATATATATTTGTTTTATTCCTCCTCTTGCTGTTTGTTTTATTTACTATCTTTGTATTATCATCTGTTATCGTATACGAGAATTACTTCTTTTTGATGTTTTTCTGACATTTCACTTTCTTTCGAGTTTTGTTATATGCTTCGTGTGCTTTTAATAATTGTCAATTGTATCAGTTTAACCTTTCTCAGGTGTAAACGTTTATAACGCTAAAGTTTTGTTTTTAATCGAAAAGCGAATATTTTTGTTTCTGTTATTTAGGTATCTGACTCCATTCAGGATTAATTGATCGATCTGGTGTGATCAAGACTCTAATCAGAAGCCGTTTCTTCTTAGGGTCACTAAATGCAGGGACCGTCTGCTATCGCGTCTTACCTAGTACGGTGTGATACAGTTTGAGGTTCTGAGATATTTATCAGAAACAGTACAATGTTAAGTCATAGAGAAAGTCAAGTCGTTTTTCGTCTTTTCTCATTTAGTTTTAGGTTATTTTTAATGGCTTTGGTCATTCATCGAATGTTATATATGGCTAACCACTGTACTGGCGTTAACAATCGAGCATGTAATGGTATCGGATTTTGGTTCTTGTATAGTAACTAATATTTTAAAAACCTTCAAATGTCATGAAACCGCAGTTACAATACAAGAACCAAAATCCGATACCATTACATGTTAATTACATATTAATGTTTTCTGTGTCAAGGTTCTATTTCCAGTCAAATATGACGTTGTCAGACGTCGTTACACTTCTTGATGTCGCCACCTCATCTGTTTAGTTAAATAATTTATCTACGCTTGATGTTATCTATGACTCTATAGTGACCGAAAACTGATGACATTATTAGATACCCCTTCTCCGATCAAGTAAAAAGAGAAATACGCTCTATGGTTTTCACCGTGGCACTTAATGGTATAAATTGAACCGTGGCACGGAAAGTGTTAATTAAAGTTAACACTATTCGCACTATTAGGAGGAGTAATGCTACACAAAAATGAGTAACCAAGAGAGCCCAGAGATATAGTTGTCTGAAGGAAAAAAAGTAAGATAGTATCGTACGCAGAGTAATACAGGAGTCCGACCAAGAGTAAGATTACGGCATGGATTAGTTCTTTATGATAATACTAAATTATTAGTTTTATAATTTGATTTTAATTCTAGAGTCTGATCCATTGAAACAGTGGCGCAAGTTTTTTTGTTGAAGAGTAAGTCTGGGAATTTCAGGGGAAACACTTTAACCGTTAACCGGGTTAAATTAATCGGTTAACCGCCGCGTGACGTTTGACGTAATAATTTATAATTTCAGCTTGTTACGTCGCAATGCTTATAAAGCAATTTTGCGTGTTCCCGGTATCGCTCAAAATTTATCACGAATCGAGATAGTTTCATGATTGCTCTGCTGCAAAAGATAGGCAGCGTGGTTCGGGCGTGTGGAAATATTTTAGAAAACCTGATTCCGTTGTTAAACGTCATTTAAGTGACAAATTATCAGTGTTCGATGTGCAAATTCTATTTCGAGATATATATCATAAAGAAAAACGACATCAACTGCGCACTTGTTGTATGACATTGAATATTCGATTTTGCAATGAAATCGTGAACAATATATATCGAAATCGACCGAAAACTGATTCTGAATTTATGAGATGTGGGGTAACGGTTAAAATAAATCGTAACCGTTAACTATCTGAAATCGGTTAACCATTCCCAGCTCTAATGAAAAGAAAAAACAGATACCATGCTGAAGTAAGACTTTACCAACACCGCAAAAGAGAAGGTACCGTTTATTTAATACAATGATACGAGTTTATTTTATACATTTTTTTTTATCGCAGGCCACTTAGAAAAAAAAGCCATAAAAGGCCCACAACAATATAGACCGCTGATAGTAATATTGAAACACGTATTCCATGGCCCCGTCTTTGCCGAGATTGTCTAGATTAGAACAAGCGAGCCGGTGATAACAATTGAACATACCGTTTTCCAATTTCCTCTTCTGTGTATCCGTAGGGTTGCCACTTCCGGATACATTTTTTTTTCGAATCGAATCTCGAATCGAAAATTTTCGAATCGAATCTTTCCGAATCTGATCCCGGAAATGTTTTTTTTTTTTTTCATCGCTAAAAAATTACCCAAACTGCGTCACCTCTAATGCTGACATGGCACCCAAACAATACACTATTACAGCAAAAACAAAATGCCAGTGGAAAATGAAATATAATCTGTTATCTGAAAACAAATTCCAAAATAACATGCAAAACTTCAAATCGTGCCTAAAACATCACCCCCCCCCCCCTTGTCAGAACCTGCGATATTGTGTGTCAAGTTCGCGAATAAGGCAAAATTTGAAGAAGATATTGTTTCACTCCAACAATTTCTTATTGCAGTAGAGAAAATTGAGTTCATTAACATGGGCACTCGTTAGTCGTGATCTCAACTGTGAAACAGTCAGTCCAGCAAAAGAAAAAGCCCTTTCTGAAGCAGCCGAGGTTGCGGGTACACTCAGATACTTCACTGCCATTCTCTTGAGCAAAGGGGCACGGGCTCCATTGTTATCCCACCAGGTCAATGGTGCAGGTGGTGACTCTTTATCATCATCCTTTCGTTTTAAGTACCAAGCTATTTCCTCTGACACAATATTTGAACTTTCCGAGTCTGAAGAACTGCCAGAGTTCTCTAGGCCTCTCTCAAAAAGTCCATGAATTTCACTAGATGAATTCACGGTTTCCATTTGCTCTTGACTATGATCCATTTGTGGCAGGGGTCCATGACGTGATTCATCCTGAGCCGTAGAAGTATCTGCTTCAGTTTCAACAGCTATCCGCACCTATGAAAAATGTTTCATCAGCATCAGAAATCGAAGTGAGATTAATTTGAAATTAGAACATTCAAAAATTAAATTACCGAGACTCGCATCTGTCTGCTGAAAAATTTGCCCTTGTGAAAGGGATTCAACCAGGTGGACTTGTGGTAAATGCTTACTCCTTCGCTTTGTACTGAAGTTGACATGACATCTGAGAATCTAGTGTGTAACGAACTGAGAATGGTCGAACAGAAGGTCTTTGATGCCGATAGCTGAAGCTCATCGACAAGGAGTTCTTCACACTACTAAACTATTTGCAATTGGTAGCAAAGATGACATCGTCACATAATTACTTCCTTCAAGGTGATCAGAGGCTGTCTAAAAATAAGATATTTTATTGCAAATTTTTGGACACTGAATTGTAAACCCAAGGACAAATAACCCTAGTCAATATAATTCAGTTCTCATAAACTATCATTATGATGCAGCAAACACAGAGTTAGTAACCTTTTGAAATAAAATTCTGAGCTTGATTAGTTACCTTGAATGGTTTCAATATGATAGAAATTTCTCTCAGCAAGCTCCAGTGGTTGTCCTTTAGTTCAAGACTGACTGCTGTCGCTCGTGGGACAATTGTTGGATCAGCCAGTACCGAACGAAATATCCACTGGTTTTTCACAAGATTTGCTATCATAGCAAATGTGGAGTTCCACCTGGTTGAAACGTCTATCGGCATCTCAATGTTTTTTATTTCAGTGTCTGCCGACTGAGCATGGCGTCGCAACGCTGTCATGCATTTTGCTGACCTTCTAAAGTGTTGCACTAAGTGCCGCGCAGCACCTGAAATTTAAATTTTTATACATAAATACATCCAGTGAACATATTCTGACAAAGTGTTTCATTTAAATAGCATATGATTTCAAACTATCCATTTGTAGGCATTCCATAGATTTATCAGGCTTTCCCCTTATTTAGCATCACATACAGCCTCACTTACCTAGTGCCCTTGCTATTTCTGTATTTTTGATGGCATCTTTGATACACAGCTGGAGGGTGTGAGCAGCGCAACGAATGTGATGCCAGCCATGTTCAGTTTGTAAAATTTTACATGCAGAAACAACATTCGCCCCATTGTCTGTTACTATAGCAAATATGGAGGATGGGGGGATAGAAAAATCATTCAGTACATACAGGATGTAACTTTTCAAGTTTATACCAGTTTGGTCCCCAACTATTTGTGTAGTGGACAATACATAGTTCTGTAGTTCTCCTGCCATGACAAAATGTGCTGTAACAGTTATATAAGCTTCCATCCGGATGCTTGTCCATGCATCTGTTGTGATAGATATCACATTTTGTTCTTTTAAAATAGACATGAGTTTGCATTTATACTGCGAATATGTAGTTTCAATCTGTTTTCCAAAAAAAGTTCTTCCAGGCATCTCGTATCCCGGCTCAAGATTTGATATTAAATCTCTAAAATGCTCCCCCTCTACAATATTGATCGGCCTCATGTCCCCTATTATAACATTGACTATTAATTTGTCTATATGATTCTGTCTTTGTCTGCTAATGGACTTTGATTTAAAAAAGGTTTCAAGTTTTTTCTGTTTTGTTCCACTTCCACTGCCTTCTGTCACTTGGCTCGCTGTTAAACTGAAAATAAAATGTATAAAATATAAACATCAGCTACATAATCTTGTACACATTTAGTAAAATTTTCTGCTGGCTTGACCTGCTTTATTGATTAGACAGTATGAAATATGGTGGACAATTGCCTCTGACATAAATTTGCCTGACCTGGCTGGGCATCACAACTGTCAACATCGCAACTAATACAATTCTAACTTTTGTATCAGCTTCAAGTTACACGAGTATAAAATTATTTCTAATTACTGATTTCTCTATTTATCTTTTCAGTCCTGCCAGTATGTTAGTTTAGCAAACCATTGCTTATTTCATTTCCTAGATGAAACTGTTTTAAGTACCCGAGTTTAAGAACTATAATTCTGTAGTTACGTAAGCCCATATGGCGTTCTGGCTGTAGAAGAATTAATTAAAAAAAAGGTTTGGCTTACTTTGATGTACCGGTATGCACTGAATCAGTGTTGATGAATGCATGTCTTCTTCTGAGGTGGTTCAAAAGATTGCCGGTAGACTCGCAGTATGACAACTTCTCTTTACAGAAGTTGCAAATCACATATGAATATCCCTCCTCTTTTGACGGGCGAGAAAAATGTTCCCAGACTAAGGAATTGGGGCGCCGTCCCTGCCGCCTAGGTGTTATTTTTTTAAAGCTATTAGACATTCTGAATAATAAAAATGCATTGCAAATAGTCAATATAATTAAGTTATACTAGTAAGCTACCGATGCCTGGCCGCACATTTTGCAGTCCAATGAGTTTAACAGCAGCGCATGGCACCCTGTCAAGTACCTTAAAACCGGCTAACTTCGGATGCCTTGTAACTTCGGATGAAAATTTCAATCATTCATATCTCAACTAAATTTCGTCGTATTGCGCTTCTGTCGGTTTCTATAGTAAGGCCTTACATATCTGAATCTGCCGTAGCCTCCAATCGCTCGATTTGATTTTTTATCATTCAAAAAATCATATTTTACCAAAAAAATGACACCGTTTTTTCGAGCGGCTCAAATCGTGACTTCTACAGACGCTACCTTCGTCAAATCACCGCCAAGCGCTAGAGAGCGTACACAATGTATACAAAAAAATACAGTGATCACAGGGTGTCGTACGAGATTCGAGTGAAATCGATTATTTTGATTTAAAAATTACATCAAAATATCGACGTTTTGATGATTACGTACAGCGTGACGTCAACGACGCAAATCCCTTTCTCTCTCTTCGTAGCCGACGTCACTTTGCGTAGCTCGTGCGTTACTCGCTGCGACATTTGAACGCCAGACATCGCGGCGCCCAGTTTTGTGAAATTTAAAAATTATGCTTATCCATGATCCTAGTCACTAAATCCTACAAAAACATCACTATCGTCTCAGTCATATGTTGTTTATTTAAAAATATGGGTATGCATACGCTTAATGCATATGAAATTTGTCGATTTTTGTTTTTGCATACTTCCTCCGACACCGATAGATACCGTAGCAATTGGTAATACGTTAGGCCTGAAACATGTATCTATACGATCATAATGATTAGATATGTCTGTTTACGATCGGCAGATGATGATAATATCTTTAACAGGTGAGCGTAGAACTCTACATAGATGCACACAGCACGAGGTTGGACCACATACAGGTGAGGCGCAAAATGAAAAAAAGTGGCGAAGTTTCTTTTTGCCGTTTTTATCCGTTTATTGTCATTTGACTTTATCTATCTACCTGTGAACACATTAAATCTGATCTATCAATACGATGCCAAAGCGAACTTACAACTCCTGCAATAGCGAGGACTTGCAAAAGGCTATGGCTGATGTTAGAGCAGGGATGTCGGTTGCGAAAGCTGCAGGGAAACACATTGGTTCCACAAGAACTGTTGCAAAGACCCGTCTAACCCATGTGGAAATGATTACAATTCTTGATTTTGCCAGCGTTTCCTTCAATTCATCTGTTTATTTTTAACTGTCGAATTTTTGTTCATACCTTACTTGTTCCATATTGCTTTTTGATTTCAATTTTTACTTTTGCCAGTGTTTCATTCGATTCATCCGTTTATTTTTAATTGTCTAATTTTTGTTCATTCTCTACTTGTTCCATATTGCATTTCAATTTCAACCTACACCAGTGTTAGGTACTTTCAATTCTTCCGTTTTGTTTTTTTTTGTTAATCCTTTTCTTGCATTGAAAATAAACGATCATAAAAGAACGAACTAGCATTTTGCAATAAATTAGGAGTAGTTAGTGAAATATATACGAGTTATAATAAAGGACACAAGAATAAATAGTTAAGCTTCGCGAAGCGGCAAGAGTAACGTCACGTACAAACGTCAGTATGCAACACGCAAGACGGGTCGTGGCGGCGTAAGATCTATTCAGCGACGTTGTCACGCGTCATTGCTTACGCAGACATTTCTCTCTCACGACGAGTTGACGCAAAGAGAAAAGTGGCCATCCGAAGTTAGATAATTTTAGAATAGACGAATAAAGACAATAATTTCAATGAAAAAAGGCTTTGATGGGTATGGAACCGACTTTATCAAGACGAGAATAGCCACAATGTATTATATTCCAAATTTGGCTTCAGTTGAACAACATGCGGCGGAGATATTGTTCAAAATATAGTGAAATCATCCGAAGTTAGCCGGTTTTACGGTACCACGTCCCGGTTCTCCTACAATTTGCAATGCAAACTTGTAACAATCAGTCCCCACTCAGTCTTGAACCACTGAATTGTTGAACCCAACACCTCAGAAGAACACTGAAAAAACTTGTTGTAATATTCCGCTTGACAACACGACAGAACAATACGGCAATAACACTCGCAAATGGCACACAGAGTTTGTAGACTACCCCACGCTGAGTTTTACTGTTACCGGTAACAAATATTGATAGATTCCAGGATTAAATAACTAAATACAGAACAGTTAGTAAATATAACACGCAATAAGTCCCATCCTATCCTAACCTATTGATTCCCAACTAAATAATAACAATAGCAGAAATCTAATAACTCACAAAACGCACACTCAACTAAATCCTAAAGGACCGGCAAAGCAGATGACTGCCGATTGCGCCATCACAGCTCGTCTCGCTCACGCACAACAGAGAGCAATACAAGATACTAACTAAAGAGCAAGGGTCGACGTCGGTCGATTGCAGCAGCCAATAGCGTGCAAGACAAACATATTGCGACATCGCTCAATACTCACTCTCAAATACAATAAAGAAATAAACCAATGTTCAGACCTGTTGAAAATTGTTGTCGTAAAATTACGCATCAAAGAAGCCCGGGCGATATGTGAATTCGACTTTGCGAGCGAGCAAAGAGTTTTGCAGACCACTAGCAGATGTCTCGCTGGTGTGTGTTCCCCACTGCAAAACTAACGCAAAACGAGAGCACTTCGCCGAAAAAAAGAAGGCAAATTACTCTCTAAAATATATCTTTCGTCGTTGAAATGAATGCTAATTTCATCAAACAAAGAACTGCATCCCATTATAAAGCGCAAATTCATTCGAGAGAGAGAGCCGGACGAGCGCTTATTTGTTTGCTTTCGAGTGAAATCATATCCGTTCGCATAGCTGGAAGACAACCGCCGTTAATAAAATCGAGAGTCGGCGTTATTTTTTGTAAAGCCACGTAATCGTTTTTCGAATCGCCCGAGTGCGATTCGAATCGATTCGAAAAGGCAACGATTCGAATCGATTCGATTCGGAAATCCAAATGTGGCATCCCTATGTGTATGTGTATTTTAGTATTGGTATCATTTTTTAAGTCTCAAATTTACGATGAAACCATGTAATTTGTTAAATATATATCCGGTTACCATTCCAAGTCGGGTATGGGATTAGTTATATTGTTTGTTTTCGGAAGCATGGACTTAGTGGTAGAGGAAGCCGTAACCGACCAGACGGCGAGGAGTCCAGCAATTCTCTCGGGGTGGAGGCTAACTCGCCATGGACGCTAGAGGTGCAGTAGCGAGCGTATTTCTAACGCTTAGCCCGTTGAGCCGCGCCGCCCCATATATCTATACTAAAAGGCTGTACCTGTTACAGGCACCTTACAGGGTACGGTACGGTACCGTTCAGGTCAACCAACTGATATTTCGAACCAAAAAATAGTAGACAATCATGCTGATGCAATCAAGGGTACCGGTACCGGTAGCCGTATGTAACCTTATGTCAATACGGAAGAATTCGCCTTCGATACGATGTTGCATTTTATTAAACAATCTACTAGTGAAATATTTTGGTAGACTAACTATGTGTAAACGCTGCACATATGGTATTTGCCGGTCTGACAACCTGTACGGTACCCCTGCTGTTCAAATGACGTGAGATTTATGCTATTTCCGAAGCCACATATTGACCGCTAAAAGCAATGAGGTTGATAAAGGAATGCAACAGGCCTCACAGTCAATTCAATCTAGGAAAAATCACCAGAAATACATACGTGTGTACCAAGGTAGGCCAACATAAATATTGTTTTCCATACCTATATTCAATATGTTAATTCTTATATGATATAAGAAACATTTTCATGGAGGCGATGGACCAACTGATGAATACCCTGACCCTATATCAGATTCTCATCGCCCAACAAAAAAGCATCATAGAATTGCGAGGTAAGGATTACTTATACCATTAACTTTGGATCATAATTTAACAGGATCTGTCACCAGATACTTCATTTGATACAGAGACATGCGAATCAGACGAAATTGAGAACGGAATGTCAGGGATCCAACCAGATCTGCCCCCAGACTCTTTAGTTTAAACTACCTCAAGTGCCGCTGATGAAAATGACAGCGCTTTGTCAGACAGCAAAAAAATTTAAGCATCATCATCATTTTATTTTGGTTCTCTGGCATAAAACAACAC